CCTGCGCCGATGATCGCGAAGGGCACGGGGCCCTGGCGGTTCCACACTACCAGCGACGGGAGACAGCACACGCAGCAGGGAGCACGACTTACACCCAGGCCCGGCCCTGCTGGGCTAAGCACCGGCCAGACACGGCACAGCAGGCCGAAGGCCAGCTGGAGCCCCGGGGGGAGGGGGAGGCAGACGGGCAGCGTAGCGGATCTCGCGGTGACGGGCCGGCGCTGGCGTGGGAGGCTGGGGGAAGACGGGGCTTTCTGATCCGAACACAACACCGCGAGGCACGCCGCTGTCCCTGGCACAGAGCCAACAACTTGCAGCATGCGGGCGCTGGGGGAGGCCCGCCCGGGGGCCCCGGTGCCCCCCCAGTTCTCTCCAGTGAGTCTGCAGGCCCAGTGACTGGGGGCAGGGCGTCTCTCAGCCTGATCCCTCTCGTCAGGGGGCGCACCCCGCCAGCCCTTTTCTTTCTCCATCCCCCTAAGGCTGGCGCCTTTACCCCCATCCACACCCTCCCCTCCTGACCCACTCCCGGCAGAGCAGGTGGGCCCTGGACGAGGGGCAGCCCAGCAGCCTGTTCTGAGCTCCGCTCGCCCCCATTGCCACTGACGTATCCGGCGCATTACAGGCAGGCGGGCTGCAGGGTCCCAGGCCAGAGGGGGAAGCTGTAGGGCTGAACCCCAGGAGGGGAGCAGAGGGAGCCGGGGACACACCCAGCTGAGCTCAGCACCTTCCCTAACACCCCCACACCGACTGTCCTGGGGCCGGCGCAGGGACCTGCTGCTTGAAAGCGGAGGCCTGGTGGGTTTGGCTGGTCTAGGATGTCCTGGGGCCGGCGCAGGGACCTGCTGCTTGAAAGCGGAGGCCTGGTGGGTTTGGCTGGTCTAGGACAGTGGCTGACGGAGGAGAGGCTTGAGGGAGGGCTAAGCCTTAGGGCAGCCTCCTGGTAAATCTCCCCCTCCCGGCAGGGGCTGTGGGGTCTGGCGGAGGCGGGCTGGGGAGTCGACAATCTGGCCGAGTGTGATCGCCCTGCGGGCCGAGCCGGAGACACGGAGCCCTTGGCCG